GTGCGCCCTATGGGGCTAAAAATATGGTAACAACAAACAAAATAATATCCCCACCTGCAGTTTAAAAGCCCATAGATTGTTTAATCAGCCAAAGCTCTGGGAGAAGAGGAATGTTTTTGCCTGGTGCCTAAAGATGTGTAATGAAGGTGCCAGGTAAGCCTCTCTGGGGAGTTAGAGATGTCAGAGAATTCTAATGGAAAATGGTCAATGTTCACTTATTCATTTAATGTCCAGAGCATAAATTAATTCAAATATATACATTTTTGTGTGTGTGTGTGTGTGTGTGTGTGTATATATATATATATATGCTTTCGTAGATTTTCACGGGTACAGGAATGCAGGTTTTGGTGTCCTCGGGTGTCTTCCCGTGTAAAAGTTGGGGTGTCTAGGCGACGTTTCGACGAGGTCTCACTCGTCATCTTCTTGAAGATGACGAGTGAGACCTCGTCGAAACGTCGCCTAGACACCCCAACTTTTACACGGGAAGACACCCGAGGACACCAAAACCTGCATATATATATATATATAAACATATCATTTTCAACAGTAATTAAACACACTTTTACATCTTATTCAAATTTTTGACTTCCATCAATCCTGTCTGAAAATTTTCCAATCTAATCTCTCAGTATGCATTTCTTATCTTCCCTATTGCATTTCAAACTCATAACCAATATCTCTATCTTTTTCTATTTTGTAGCACTTTGTATATTTCTCCTTACAAAACTTCTTGTAGTCCTACTAGCGTAATTTGTTGATTACAGTTGCTCTTCAAATAATTCATATACTTCTTCCAGTCTTCTGTAAATCTCTGGTCTTGCAGGTTTCGAATCCTTCCTGTCATTTTGTCCAATTCTGCATAGTCCATTAATTTCGTCTGCCATTCTTCTTTCTTCTTGTTTCCATTTCTGGGCTAACAATACTCTTGCCGCAGTTGTTGCATATAAAAACAATTTAACATCTTGCCTATTAATGTCCTGACCTATAATACCAAGTAAAAATGCTTCTGGAGAAATTAATTCAATGATTTCAATCGGTATTTGCTTTTGTTGTTTTCAGTTCTTCAAATTATTTGAAATTGATTATGGTTCCCCACACCCACCCCATGAATTCCATTTCCGTTACACTGGGAAATGAATGGTGTGGAATAACATGTTCATAATGCAATCAGCTATGTAAAACTCTGCCACAAATAATGTAGGTTATGCCCGAAGGTGCACTGTAGTGGAATACAAACAGCACTGTGTGCAATGAACACAGGGCGAAATGGAAACCTTTGCCTTCTTGCATCCTTATCAGGAGCCTACAAATATGGCTGCCAACATTGCCAAGGCAATGAAGAATATAATTCTAGCCATTGGGAGCTGAGATGCAGCAAGTGGAAGCCATAGAATCTCCCCCTTTGAGCAGCACTTTCTCTCTTAGGCAGCTAAACTAGATAGCTAGGCTGGTCTCTGTGACTGTGATCTTCGGAAGCAGTGCTGCGTGGCTGCTGTTTGAACCCTCAATCAAGAATTAAAAAATCAGGGGTCAGCAAACTTTTTCAGCAGGGGGCCGGTCCACTGTCCCTCAGACCTTGTGGGGGGCCGGACTATATTTTGAAAAATAATAATAAATGAACAAATTCCTGTGCCCCACAAATAATCCAGAGATGCATTTTAAATAAAAGCACACATTCTACTCATGTAAAAGCATGCTGATTCCTGGACTGTTTGCAGTCTGGATTTGGAAGGCGATTGGGCTGGATCCGGACCCCGGGCCTTAGTTTGCCTACCCATGGTTTAAATAATATATATTGGGGGGGGGGGGCAGAGGCGAGTATTTCAGGTACTTCCTAAAGACTTATGATTATATTGCTTCAATTACTACCTACCCTTCTGCAACCTGCTACAGGTTAGGACCTGCCTCTTTTCCATAAAAGAGGGAAGCGATGCACAATAGGGCATTAAAGAAGTTGGTCATTACTGGGGAAGCTGTACTGAGTTAGCAAGAAACTTAGTCTTTTGTTTTTGCAGTCTGCATTGTAAAAGGTAAAGGTAAAGGTACCCCTGCCCGTACGGGCCAGTCTTGCCAGACTCTGGGGTTGTGCGCTCATCTCACTCTATAGGCCGGGAGCCAGCGCTGTCCACAGACACTTCCGGGTCACGTGGCCAGCATGACATCGCTGCTCTGGCGAGCCAGAGCCGCACACGGAAACGCCGTTTACCTTCCCGCCAGAGCGGTCCCTATTTATCTACTTGCACCCGGGGGTGCTTTCAAACTGCTAGGTTGGCAGGCGCTGGGACCGAACAATGGGAGCGCACCCCGCCGCGGGGATTCGAACCGCCGACCTTTCGATCGGCAAGCCCTAGGCGCTGAGGCTTTTACCCACAGCACCACCCGCGTCCCTTTTAGTCTGCATTTTACCTGTAATCAAATCATGTGCTTGCACCCATGATTCCCAAGACTAAGATCGTAACTGGATCTTTCCCATGAAATAATTTTTTCTGATGATCAGGGACCTGCAAATGTTGGATTGGCTGTGATTGCTGCCAACGATCCTTTTTTCAAAGAATCACAGAACCATTCCTGCATTGCAGGGGGTTGGACTAGATGATCCTCGCGGTCCCTTCCAACTCTACAATTCTGCGATTCTGTGAGTCTGTGGCTGGTTGCAGACATAATAGTTAAAGACCAAAAATGCCCCATAGACTGAGGTCACTCACATTCTTTCCCCATCCTCTCTCCCTTGTGCATTTTCTTCCGTTCTTGGTGGTAGCCACGGTGCAGTGCTATGACTTCACCAAGGTTTGCGTAGCCTCCAATATTTCTCTGATGAAAATAGGGATGCCCTAAGGAAAAGCAGGTGGTGCTGTGGGTTAAACCACAGAGCCTAGGACTTGCCGATCAGAAGGTTGGCGGTTCAAATCCCCGCGACGGGGTGAGCACCTGTTGCTCGCTCCCTGCTCCTGCCAACCTAGCAGTTCGAAAGCACATCCAAGTGCAAGTAGATAAATAGGTACCACTCCGGCGGGAAGGTAAACGGCGTTTCCGTGCGCTGCTCTGGTTCTCCAGAAGTGGCTTAGTTATGCTGGCCACATGACCCAGAAGCTGTACGCCAGCTCCTTCGGCCAATAAAGCGAGATGAGCGCCGCAACCTCAGAGTCGGTAACGCCTGGACCTAATGATCAGGGGTCCCCTTTATCCTTTAAGGAAAAGCAAGACATTGCAGGATCAAACAGAAACTGGGAGGGCTTCTGTAAATTGGCAACTGTCACCAGAAAATAGGGACACTTGGAGGGTCTGAGCAGGGCCGTCTTTAGCAGATGCGATGTCGGGGTGCAAATATCTGCTCAGCGCCCCCAAATTACCATGGATAGTGGGGGGGGGGAGTGAAGCTGTGCACTGCCAGCCATGGGGGTGTGTGCACACCTCTCCCCCATGCTGCACGCTCTGCTCCCATGAAGGCTTGGGAAGGAAGCTGTGTGCCCACCAGCCATATGTTTGACGGGGAACAGTTGGAGGGCGTGCAGGGAAAGGGGAGGCCGCTGGCAAAGCCGCACAGCTCCCCCACTCGCTGGGGTGCCCCTGAAAGTCCAGCGCCCTGGTGCAATGAACCACTAAGCCGTATGGGAAAGACGGCTCTGGGTCTGAGGTTGAAGTTGACAGCAGTGTGCGGGGTGGCCAAGAGGCAAGGCTGGCAGGAGCAGCAGCACCTTCTATGTATCAGTGTCTCTACCACTTGCCAGGTGTTGGATGAAGTGGTAGAGAGTTTGGAGGAGGCCTGGGGTGATCAATGTGGGACACGGATATCACCAACCTAGTCTTTCTCTGACCTTGGCTTCCAACAAAATATTAAAAATACAATAAAACACCAAACATTGAAAACTTCCCTAAACAGGGCTGCCTTCTGATGTCTTCTAAAAGTCAGATAGTTGCTTATTTCCTTGACATCTGATGGGAGGGCGTTCCACAGGGTGGGCACCACTACCAAGAAGGCCCTCTGCCTGGTTCCCTGTAACCTCACTTCTCACAGTGAGGGAACCGCCAGAAGGCCCTTGGAGGTGGACCTCAGTGTCTGGGCTGAACGATGGGGGTGGAGACTCTCCTTCAGGTATACTGGGCCGAGGCTGTTTAGAGCTTTAAAGGGCAGCACCAACACTTTGAATTGTGCTTGGAAACATACTGGGAGCCAATGTAGGTCTTTCAAGACTGGTGTTATGTGGTCTCGGCAGCCACTCTCAGTCAGCAGTCTAGCTGCCGCAGTCTAGCTGTTTTCTTTCTAACTAACTGAGAGCTGGAAGAGGACCCCCACCCATTTACCACCTGGCACAAAGCCCCTTTTTCTCTGTTCTCTTAATGGCCCATCACTCCAGCTGGCCTGGCTATTACAGCAATGGAATCTGTGAACATACAGCTTACTTCCTTTCCCCGCCAAACCCACAAACTGGCCTGGCACCCACAAATTCATAATGATATTAAGAGGAAGTGGAGTCAAGGGGAACAGGAAAGCCATATACAGCTCTTTTGGTTGCGTGAGCTTTTCCTTAGTTGCAACCTTCTATGAAATCTCCGAAAGACTCCCTCCCCACATCCCTAAGCATCTTGCCCTCCCTCCTTAATATATATTTGTTTAAGACTCGGCCTGTTGGAAGAAAAAGAGAACTCAGTTTCTTCCAGTTCAGAAATCCTTGGAGAGGGTGCCTCCTCACCCCAGGCAACCAGGCGAATGGTTAATTGCAAGCTTGTGTTCACTCCATTCTTGTTGTTTTCTATAATTGCGCAAGCTTTAGGGAGCCAGCGTTAAGAGGAAAAGTAGCACATATCCGATATCTGTTTGTAAAATCTTCTGGCACAAAATAAAAGCCCAGATGCTTATTTGCTCTGTGATGATACGTACTCCACAACCAAAGCATTCAAAGGGCTTCAAGTTCTTTATTTATAGCAATAAAAAAGTGCTGAACTTGGACTATGAAGTACCTTTCTAATACATATATTCTTTTCCTCCCCACGCACTGTAGGATTTGAAGGTGTGTGTTGAATTTATATATGCTGTTCCTGCTCGTGGAAGACATTTCATTCTGTCCAGGGGGCTTAAAGAAGCATTTTGTCTCACTTCTGAATATGTGTGGATAGCCCTGTATGCTGTTTTGGAGCTCGGAAAGTGAGGAATGAAGTTGCCAGTATGTCATTCAGGGACGTTGATGTGGATATAAAAGAATTCCTAGTGAGCATCAACCTGGGGCAATACTTTCAGAACTTCCAAGACTTCGGCTATAATGCTTTGCGAGACTGCGTGGGGATAAACAACAGTGTGCTTCAACAAATTGGAATAACTCCTACTGGGCACCGCAGAAGGATTCTCAAGCAGTTGGAGGTCATGTTTGCAAAAATGCTTGAAAAATCTTTGCCTGTTGAAAGCCAGAAAACTGATGATGCCGAAGAGTTGGGAAATAGCTGTTCGCAGTCATTTTGCTGCAGTTCCAGCACACACATCCTAAATCCAAACGGCGGTGAAACAAGCTGGATACCCAGTGAATGGGCAGATAAAGCTTGTGGCAGTAATTACACGTATGAAGATAATAGCAAACTTTCAGACCATGAGTCATTAGAAGTCAAAGACAACGTGTCTTCGGGTTTGGATTCTCCTAGCTCATCCTGTCAGGACTTGAAATGCTCAACAGATGTTGCCTCTGTTCCGAGGAATGCAGTGAAAAATGTGATGTCCAAAAAGATACCCCTTTCACTCAGCGAAAAAGTGCACTCAGAAGCCATCGATTTTCAGCCAGGTAACACACCGGAAGAAACATCATTTCTGTCCTCTGGTTTTTCTTCATCTGAAATGAAGTCTGGCAGAGATGAGCGCTTGAAGTCTTCGGAGCCGGAAAGCTTGTCCGATACTCCACCAGACTCCCCGCTCTTTGAGTTTAAAGGCGAAATGGTAGAGAACGATTTGTACCGCACTTGTACTCAGAGTACAAAGGGAACTCCTAGGCCAACGCGCTCCTTCATGCTCAGGCACCGTCCTGTTCCCAAAATACCTGGCTCTTCCTCAGCGGTGAAGGCTTTGATGAGGTAAACTTTAATAAATTTCTATGTTTTGTGGTGCTTTTGGAGTGCTCAATGTGCTTTGTGTATACTGTTTAAGTAATCCTTACAATTCTTAAAGGTTAGTCAGTTTTATTCCCCAGAGTGGGTGGGGAAATCTAGCCAGATGGGCGGGGTATTATTATTATTATTATTATTATTATTATTTATTTATTAATCTGTGTATTTCCAGACAGGGAGGCTGAGGCCTAGGGTCATCTAGTGAGCCCATGGCTGATTCAATATTTGAACCAGGAATTTCTTGCTTTGCAACTCAGTCTCTTGACTGAGCTCTTGAGCTGAAGAACAGGGATGGTGATGGGGCCAGTGTGGCTTATTGCACAAATGTGGATAAACTTGTGAGAACATAAGTAGGGTTGCCATATTTCTGACACCTGCAAAGTTGTTGAGCTTTTTTCAGGAAGACCCCAAAACTATTGAGCTTCACCCTAAATAGTGATTTTAAGCTTTTGGATCTATTTCCACTGCTGACGCCATTCTTTCGTCCGAAGACCAGGACATGTCAGGAGTTTTCCTGACGTATGGCAAGCCTAGGTATAAGGGAAGGGAGGCTTCTGTAACTATTAATATGTGCGGTTAGAGAACCTGGAGTGTTAGCAGGGGTAGCCTTTCTCATTCCATTGCGCTTTCAGGCTCGAAGGTGCCCTCCAAACTGGGTTGCCTCCTGTATCAGTGACTGCCAGCCTCTGTGTCTTCTCTGAGCTACATTCCCCAGAACCAATTCCTCTTCCCAGGGAATGCTGGGCATAGTGGTTCTATGAGGGGAATAGGTGTCTGCTATAACAACTACAGTTTTCAGGATTCTCTGGAGGAAGCCATGACTGTTTAAATGGCACGGTACTGCTTTAAGTGTACAGTCAAACCTTGGCCCCTGAACAGCTTTGTTTTTGAACGTTTTGGCTCCAAAACTCCAAAAAACTTGAAGTAAATGATCCGGTTTTTGAACGTTTTTCAGAAGCCGAACATCTGACGTGGCTTCCGCTTGAGTGAAGGAATCTCTTGCAACCAATCGGAAGCCGCACCTCAGATGTCGGACATTGTTGTTGTTGTTTATCCCAAGGAAACACAATCCCTGGTTAAGTGCCCCAAACCCTGGAATATCTTGCTACCGTTCCACAGAGACTGGGGTAACAGTATAGTGTAACTCGACCAGTAACAGTATAGTGTCTCCTCTGTGACCACTTATGATCACTCTTCTGATGTAACATACAAGTTTGCCTCCTTACAATGAAGCATGTGATGTCCAAAGTCAATCTCGGAAGGAGTGTCAGGTGTTCTGCAGAGAGCCATCACATAATTTAAAAATGACCGGCTTCCTTTTTTTAAAAAAACACACACAACTATCACAAAGTAGTACACTTCAACACATAACTCCATGTTACGAGACATGTGGGCTTGGTATTGAAAACTGTAGACATGTCCTGAGTTCCGTTCACTGTAACTTCAATAATAATAATAATAATAATAATAATAATAATAATAATAATTGATTACCCATCTGGCTGGGTTTCCCCAGACACTCTGGGCAGCTTCCAAGAGAATATTAAAAACACAACAAAACATCAAACATCAAACATTAAAAACTTCCCTAAAGAGGACTGCCTTCAGATGTCTTCTAAAAGTCAGGTAGTTGATTATTTCCTTGACATCAGAGGTTGTCAGGGAACTGCCATCAGGTCAGAGGCAAGAGGGGGGAAGGGCAGTTGTGTTATAGGGAACCTCCGAAGATCTTGTGAAGCAGCTCCTCCTCTGGCAAGGAGGAAAGCCCCACCTCCAGTGGGGAGGAGGTGGTGGGACCAGGGGATGCAAGGGAGAGCCTCATCGCCGAGGCTGAGCAGGCCGGAAAGGAGGGAAGTACCCCTTTGCCAGCGCCCAGTCTGCGCAGTAGGTTTCGGTGCAAGGAAAGGAGGAGAAGGCTGGGGGCCACGCAGCTGTTATGCTGGCGAGTGAGTCAGACATGAACTTGTGACGCTCTTCACTGTAAATAGTTTGCACTAATAATAAAGCCTGGAAAAGACAGGTCGGAGTCTTGCCTGTTTGCTCTCGAGCAACCACACCACCACCTGACAGAGGTTGTTCCACAGGGTGGGTGCCACTACCGAGAAGGCCCTCTGTATCCTCACTTCTTGCAGGTAGGGAACCGACAGAAGGCCCTCAGAGCTGGACCTCAGTGTCTGTGCTGAATGATGGGGGTGGAGACGCTCCTTCAAGTACACTGAGCCGAGGCTGTTTAGGGCTTTAAAGGTCAGCGCGCACACTTTGAATTGTGCTCAGAAACATACTGGGATCCAATGTAGGTCTTTCAGGACCAGTGTTATATGGTCTCGGCAGCCACTCCCAGTCACCAGTCTAGCTGCTGCATTCTGGATTAGTTGTAGTTTCCGGGTCACCTTCAAAGAGATGATGTGCTCTGACATCATCTCAGATATGTTTCCATGCCCATTCAACAGCTGCCAGGGGCATGAAGTGGGGGAATGGGCAATGCTCATTGCAATAACTTCAGGATATGGGAGGTGTTGAACTTGACATTTCAGAGGGGAAAACCAGAACTGCATTCAAACCATTTTTGTCAGCTGCTCTATTCACCTCTGCCCTGTAATAGGCAGCCCTCAATTTTGTGGTCATGATGAACAAGCCGCAGAACTGTGGTCACCCTTTGTTTTTTCAATTAATTGTATTAAATGCCATGCACAGACACTGAGATCTGTTAAGAGATGCAGACTGCTGAATTTGAAGCTAAGGTCTTTATAGTTAACGCTGCTGCTTGTCTGTTAGTGCTTAGATTCCTCCCCAAGCTCTGAAAAAGTTTAGTGTCCTTGTGTAGTGCACTTATCTAGTGTTCTTTCATGCCTCGATTTTTAAAAGAAAATTTCTATATTATTATTCTCCTTACATATGGCTAAGGGACAGATTCTCTCCCCACTTCCCTGAGACCTTTACCTGTCTTTGAAAATTGCCTCCAGCTTGTTAAGCACAGATTATAGAAGTCTCTGTGTCCTTAGAAATGTAAAGGAACTTTGGGGGATATGGAACAGCGCAGCGGTGCTAGCAGCATGGCTGTGAATTCTACAGAGAGCTCATGTTTTGTCCCCTCTTATTTAAAGTGTGCTGCAGAGATTTTGTTTTTTAAAAAAATAAAAATAAATGCCCTCATTGAAATTTCAATACCAAATCTGTCACGCAGAGTAGCCGAACTGAGCAAATAACTCTGTGTTCCCCACTCCCACTTCTATTCTAGGTCCGGGATTGCATTGTTTAATTGGTGTCTTATTACTTAACAAAATATGTTACTTGCAATGCTGCATTCCAGCTGACTGTTACTTTGTAGCTTGGATGCCTTGGGAAGGTTACAGCATTTGGGGATTTTTAGGTTAGAGAAAAGGCGAAATGAAACAGGTGTATAAAAATATTTATGGAGAAAGTGGATCAAGAGAGATAAAAAAGTATTTCTTCTTGTCTCTTAATACTAGAATTTGGGGGACATCCTGGATGTTGAAAGACAGACAAAACAAAGTGCTTCTTCACAGCAACTCACACCAGAGTTGCTGTGGTGCTCAGTTTTTGCTTCCCATAGGCCTCTGTGAAAACAGGATGCTGGACTGGATAGTCTAGCACAGGCATAGGCAAACTCGGCCCTCCAGATGTTTTGGGACTACAACTCCCATCATCCCTGACCACTGATCCTGTTAGCTAGGGATGATGGTGGCCTCCCCCCCTTCCCCCTTCCTTACAGTGGCTCGGGGGAGGCTTGGAAGATGTGGTCGGGACGGGCGCCATTGTCCTCCACCCCCAATGGCCCTTGTGGGCAGCTGTTTCAGCAGCGATAACGTAAGGTTGCTAATATGAGCCACACTTTAACTTTTCACAATAGGAATTTGGGGGGGAAAGTGCTGCTTGTATTTGGATCAATACGGTGCTTCAGTTCATGTGCTCCCCACCCCCTTTTGCAGAAGGAACCTTAAGACCTGAGAATGTGATGAATTTGTATTTGTTGCTCTCAGACAGTTTCCTTGTCTGAGAAACCTAATTGAGATAATATCAAAGTGACATGCTGCCTACATGATGACACTTATTTTGCAATTTTTGAAGACTTTTAAAAAAGCCTTTTAGTTTATGGGAACAGAGAAGGCCCACAGTTGATTCACTTGCACAACAGCATATGTGAATATGGCCAAATTTATACTTGCAGAAGGAACCTTAAGACCTGTGAATGTGATGAATTTGTATTTGTTGCACACCAGTTTAGCTGTCCCAGACGCGGCTTGCCTTGCCTCCTCGCGACTCTGGCCTTGATGAGGAAGCCTGTCATAATGGTGCTTGGTTGCACCCCATTGCACCCTTCAAAATTCTGCACCCGGGGCCAGGATCCCCATGCTATGCCACTGGGTGGATTATAGGAACTTGAGACCGGAAACATTGCCCAATGCTAGACAACCTTCCATTGGTGCTTTTGTAAAGAGATCCTCTCTCATTTCTGCATTACATCACTTCTTAATTTTAAATCTTTCAGAAACTCTAATGCGCTATTTTGAAAAGAGCAAATTAATAGCACTAGCTCTCAGAATTTCAAGAGTGTCATGTTGTATTCGGTTATGTTACAAGACATGAGTGGTTTGACATGATGTGAGCGTTGCCTTTGTTTCTTAACAAGATTCAGAGAGACTTTGTTTTGTAATTTTAATAAAAGTAATGAGTCACAGTTTCCTTGTCTGAGAAACCTAATTGAGATAATATCAAAGTGACATGCTGCCTACATGATGACACTTATTTTGCAATTTTTGAAGACTTTTTAAAAAGCCTTTCAGTTTATGGGAACAGAGAAGGCCCACAGTTGATTCACTTGCACAACAGCTGTGAATATGGCCAAATTTATACTCTAAACTCCATAGTTAGCCTTCCCCAACATCCACATGTTTGGGACAGCAATTGCCATCCACTCCAGTCAGCCTGATGAGGCTGATGGGAATTATAGTTTGAAACTAGGGATACACATATTTTTGAGTCCATTAAGTCTCCCCTTTCCACAAGGGGATAAGTTAAGATACCTTGGCACCTTTTGGAAGAAAGGGCAAGCTAAAAGTGAATTAATTACAGTGGTGCCTCGCAAGACGAAAATAATCCGTTCCGCGAGTCTCTTCATCTAGCGGTTTTTTCGTCTTGCGAAGCAACCCTATTAGCGGCTTAGCGGATTAGCGCTATTAGCGGTTTAGCGGCTTAGCGGCTATTAAAGGCTTAGCGGCTTAGTGGCTAAAAGGCTATTAGCGGCTTAGCGGCTTAGGAAAAGGGTGTGTGTGTGAAAAAAATCACAAGACTCGCAAGACGTTTCTGTCTTGTGAAGCAAGCCCATAGGGAAAATCGTCTTGCGAAGCACATCGGAAAACCCTTTCGTCTAGCGGGTTTTTCGTCTTGTGAGGCATTCGTCTTGTGGGGCACCACTGTAATGCCCACTCTGTGTGGACTTTTATCAGTGTAATTCTGGAGAATCATACTATTTTGGGGGGATATAAACAAGTCCACAAGTTTTACGTGAAGACTTTTCTGGGAAACCAGCTTTTTTATTTTATCACAGATTTTATCCTGCCTTTTGAGAAGATTTATATCCTTGTCTATCTTTCTGTATTCTTGCCATGGATCTCTGTTTTCAATATGTATTGCTGAGGAATAATGCTGCTTCCATTATTCAGAATGTACTTCCACCTGAAAATTAACATAGCATGTTTGGGATATATGTGTGTGTGTGTGTGTGTGTGTGTGTGTGTGTGTGTGTAAAAAACCAGACGGATTTTCGAAATGGTTGGTTTGCAACTTTGCATAAATACATTGTTCTGCATCCGAAGTGCTGATCAGTTTGCCATTGCATTTGATGTTGAGATGATGCTTATCATGCTTCCTGTCAAAGCGACTGGCTGATTTATGTGCACAGTCATGAGCCGTTGAATAAGACTATTTTATTCTACATTGTTATTCATTCTCTGCCATAGACTTAACTATGTAGCAAAACATTTGCTTTTTAGTGGATGTGTGGCAAGTGTTTGGAGACCTTGGACTCAGAGACACTGGCAAAGAAAAAACGCTTTATGTGCGTTGTATGTGCATTATAACCCTTTGACACCAGATGGCGCTGTGGAGTCCTGTTTTTGCCAACCCGATTTCTCATACAAAGTTTACAACGCGTTTAACAGGTCTTTGACATGTCTAGATGCAGCCCTTATCCCTTGTTCAGCACATGTATCAATAGCTGTTAATATTCTATTGTCACTTTGCATATCATGCTAAACCATAGCATGACATGCTGGAGGAATAAGGTACCATGAACACTCCTTCCCTACTTCCTGTTTAGGGAAGTTTTTAATGTTTGATGTTTTATTGTGTTTTTAATATTCTGTTGGAAGCTGCCCAGAGTGGTAGGGGAAACCCACCCAGATGGGTGGGGTATAAATAATAAATTATTGTTGTTGTTGTTGTTACTTCTGCCATATAGCCAGAAGGAGTTCAGAAGCTTTTTCTTTTGGCTAGCCATGGTTTGTCCTGTTGCCCCGAGTGACATATTTTAACCAGTACTAACAGTACTGGTCAATTTCAAACAAACCAACTTCAAACAATGGGTTAGAAAGCGCTTTTTTAAAAAACCCAACTATAGTTGGTATTGACCACAGTTCTGGCTGGAGACAGTATGATAAGCTGTGATTACGTAATTAAATGCAGAAGTGCCAATAATAATAATAATAATAATAATAATAATAATAATAATAATAATAATTTATACCCCGCCCATCTGGCTGGGTCCCCCCAGCCACTCTGGGCGGCTTCCAACAAAGCACTAAAATAACCTATTAAACATTAAAAGCTTCCCTAAGCAAGGCTGCCTTTAGATGTCTTCTAAAAGTCTGGTAGTTATTTTTCTCTTTGACATCTGGTGGGAGGGTGTTCCACAGGGAGGGTGCCACTACCGAGAAGGCCCTCTGCCTGTTTCCCTGTAACTTGGCTTCTCACAGCAAGGGAACCACCAGAAGGCCCTTGGCACTGGACCTCAGTGTCCGGGCAGGACGATGGGGGTGGAGACGCTCCTTCAGGTATACTGGACCGAGGCCGTTTAGGGCTTTAAAGGTCAGCACTAACACTTTGAATTGTGCTCGGAAACGTATTTCTCTTCCCAGCTGTATGGGGGAAGGAGAGGAAATGGGAGCACACAAACCCAGCTTCCATTGAAGCTTGTGAACTTCCTATTAAACCTTGATTTAGTGTGAAGTGCAAACGTGTCCTTTTGAAACAAAAGTATCATGGATATTCATTGAATTCTAGTTATTTGCTTCAGCAGTTCAGAGCTGCCTTTAGATTAGGTGCTGCAATAGAAAAGTTGGGGGCACCTCTACACTTCCACCTACCCTAACACTAGAAAAACCTGATATTTACTGCTAAATAGGAGAGAACTTCAGTTGGGTTTTCTCAGGATTTGCTCCAATTGAGCACTATCCGAAGAAGTGTGCATGCACACGAAAGCTTATACCCAGAACGAACTTCGTTGGTCTCTAAGGGAAAGGTAAAGGGACCTCTGACCATTAGGTCCAGTCGTGGACGACTCTGGGGCTGTGGCGCTCATCTTGCTCTATAGGCCGAGGAGACAGACAGCTGTCCACAGACAGTTTCCCTGAGGCCAGCATGACTAAGCTGCTTCTGGTGAGCCAGAGCAGCGCACGGAAATGCTGTTTACTTTCCCACCGGAGCTGTACCTATTTATCTACTTGTACTGGTACGCTTTCGAACTGCTAGGTTGGCAGGAGCTGGGACTGAGCAACAGGAGCTCACCCTGTCGTGGGGATTCGAACCGCCAACCTTCTGATCGGCAAGCCCTAGGCTCTGTGGTTTAACCCACAGGGCCACCCGTGTCCTGGTCTCTAAGGTGCTACTGGACAATTTTAAATTTTTAAAATTTTTTCCAACTGCGTCAGACCAACACAGCTATCTACCTGAATCTTGCAAAAAGCAGTGGGACAAAGGCAAAACTGCTCAGACCTTTGCCTAGGGCAAGCAGAATAATAGAATCACAGAACTGTAGAGTTGGAAGGGATCACAAGGGTCATCTAGTCCAACCCCTGCAATTCAGGAATCTTTTGCCCAACATGGAGATCAAACTCACAACTCTGAGATTAAGGGTCTCATGCTCTACTTATGGACCTATGAAGTGTGGACAAGCCCTATGGCAAAATATTAACTGTGCTGAAAAATGAAAAGTGGCACATAACATTAGTGCTAGCATTTTGTGAATAAACATGACTGGTTTTTTTAATCTGGTGATTTAAAGTCTATATTTCCATCAGAGTAATTAGAAGCATGTTCTGCCTTATATTTATCTCTTCACATTGGTGTTTTTTCCAGCTCCCTTCAGGAAAGAAGAAACGTGAATGGTTTAAGTATCCTTTGTTCCGAGATCCATATTTCACAAAGAAGTAAGTTGAACTTTGCAGCAAATTATTCTGAGTTATTGGAAAATGTAAGAAGAAAGAAAGGTGATGATTGGATTTCTTAATAAATTGGATTTTGTTTGTTTGTTTGTCCCCCCATTATTGTCATTTTATTGGTGTTAGCCGCCCTGAGCCTGGTTCTGGCTGGGGAGGGCAGGGTTTAAATACAAAATTATTATTATTTATTATTATTTGGGAAATATAGCATGATAACATTGAGAAGGCCATCTTAATAAATAAAATATATTTATAGATGATAATTTGGCACATTTTACATTTCTTGAATTACTTATTTCTTTCAAATAAAGAAAATATGCTAGCTTTACTTAATATCTGTTTTTTTCCGGATAGCGTAGGTTTGCTTCGATTGCAATGAAGGAAAAGTGCTGGAGCATAGCTCAAATGTCTTGGTATCTCCCCCAGGGAGAAATGTGCTCACTGTTACTGTTCTTCTGTGGAGGACATGTGCAAGGTTTGTTTCAGGTGTGAAACCCAAGAAGCACAGAAACAGGATGTGTGAGTCACATGTGCTTTCTTTGATGCTGCCTTCTCATTGCACTTCACAAAGCCACTTGCAATGTATTTTTCACCCTATGCACTTATCAGTAACCTTTGATCTCTTCCTTCTTTGATATATGCTAGGGGAGTGTATGTATAGTCTAAGTATGTGTGACGGTAGCAGAATCTGTTTTCAGAAAAATGTGTGCCACCAGACAGACATAGGCAGGTAGTTGGGGATAATTCATACAAAGAGGGGGTGGTGCCAAACTGTTCTGTTCCTAAGTTTTTCTTCTCAAAGCTTCTTCTTCATCCTACTTTTCTCCAGTCAGGGCTTGCTTCTGGAACTAGTTTCAGGAGAAAAACTTTGCTTCAAACTTCTTCTGAGCAGCTGACATTTTAAACATGCAGGTCATAATCTTGTCACCACAAATCAGATGCTTAAGTAAAGTGTAATACAGTGGTACCTCGGGTTAAGCACTTAATTCGTTCTGGAGGTCCGTACTTAACCTGAAACTGTTCTTAACCTGAAGCACCACTTTAGCTAATGGGGCCTCCTGCTGCCGCTGCGCCGCCAGAGCACGATTTCTGTTCTTATCCTGAAGCAAAGTTCTTAACGTGAAGCACTATTTCTGGCTTAGCAGAGTCTGTAACCTGAAGTGTATGTAACCTGAAGCGTATGTAACCCGAGGTACCACTGTATAGGCAGGGCAGAGCGTAGGAGCAAACTTGGGGCTCATTCTGTTCGTTCCCTGATTTCTTCTATTTGTCCCCTGATTTCTAGTCACAGATCCAAGAGGTCTTTTTAAAAAATAATAATTATCCCACAACGTTCTCTGGGAAAACCCGTTGTTTACCTGCAGAAAATCCTATGAACGCTTGTAAACAGTGGCTTTTCCTGTGCAAAGCGACGGGACAAAAAAAGAGAGAGGAATAATTTGTGTAGTTAAATGAAATCACAAGCAGGGTTTGAATTATAAGCAGCGGATTGAGGATGACAATAAATGTAATAGAGGAAATAGATATTAGATATAGTTTGACATGTAAAGCAGCAGAATATGGGTGGAAAAAACACCACAGAGGTAAGGGTGGTATCACCTTGTTCATTTTGCAAGAATATGTGTTTGAAGTTAATGTGTTGAGGTTTTCAAAACTGAATGAGAATCTGTTATATATAAAAAAGAACCTTTTGGACTGCGACTAGATGGGACAAAAGGACGTGTGTTTAACAGAGGAAAAACTGAGATGTGTTTCAATTGGTATGTGTGTGTGAATGAAAGGAGACAGAGAGAAAGAGGGTTTTCTTTTGGCTCATTTCCCTGCTCCTCAGTCCAAGGTGCACAGAGGACTGCCCCTACAAAATGTTCCAGTGTTAAACCAGCTATCCAAATAACACAAGATCAAAGCTAAATTTCACAGTGGAAAATGACAAAACAAGAAGAGCAGCAGGGATATATTCTCATCAATTGGAAAATGCTGTTTAAAGTCGAGAGGGTTCCTGAGCCCAGACCGAGAGAATGATTGACACGGTGGGCCCTCCCATAGGATCAAAGGCCCCCCACCTCGTTCACCCTCTCACACCCCTGCAAACATTTATTCTTTAACCTTCCTATTCCATAGGGCACTCTGTTTTTTGTTTTTATTTTGAGACTCTTCCTGGTTTTCAAAGGGAAGCCTGAATCTCTCTTGGGTGTGCAGAAGTAGTCGCATGGCTGTTTGAATCCTTGCTCTGGTGTTTAATTGAATAGCTGACACTCTCCCCGAGGGCAAAGGATTAAGGAGAGTTAATAGCGTTCCCACTTTTTCCCTCCTGTGAAGATGGCTAAACAACTGCTTGAAGTCAACTTCTGCCTGCTCATATTTAAGACTTAACCTGGACATGTTCAGGCACATTTTGTGCTCTGCAAAATAACCCTGCTGTCAGCTCTAGGCATTTAAAAACCACCAAACAATTTCCCCTCCCCTCCCACCCCTTTGCACCCTGGAAACGATGAGACGACTTTGAAGGCAGCGGGTATTGTTTTGTTTCATTTTTTGATCTTCCTTTTGATTCTTTTTAAAGTTTACATCCACAGTTTTCGGGCTGGAAATAGTAATGACTGGAAAGCTTCAGCTTCATTCAGTCAACATGATGTTAGGAAGAATCACAGAATCACAAAATCATAGAATTGTAGAAACTGGAAGGGACCACAAGGATCATCTGGTCCAACATGGGGCTTCAACTCAAAACCCTGAGATTCTGCAGATGTTAAAAAGATGTTGAGAAGAAAAGTTTGTAATGGAACTGTTACCGGAAAAATCCGAGGGCTCCCTTGGACAAAAAGTAAAGACACCAACCAGAGTAAATTGGAGCAAATCAGCAGCCTGTAGGCTTGGCCTTTATTGAACTGTTGCAACAGGGTGTTCCCCTCACTTGCAAGAGAGAGGAAAAGACCCAGAAAGATGGTGTGCCAGAAATTCCCCTCCTGTAGCAAAAGCCCACCCCCAGAAACATCATGCATACATTACAGAAAGGAGGGGTTGAGGGAGGAGTTGTGGTGGTAACCTGACTGTCCTGTCACCTGGCTGGTTCCTCCTTTCCCCCTCCCCATGAGTCATTTTCTGATGACAAAAGGTAGTCACAGTTTCCTGCCCCCTGAGGGAAGATCTGATCATTGTCCTTTGTTCCAGTCCATGCTGAATCCACTCCCATATGCAAGTTCTTTGTGATCTTGATTGTCTTCTGTCTGGGATCATCAGGGTTGGCATAGCAACTGGGCAGGGCTCCTGTGGATGTGCTGGGATGGTGAAGGGATTGTGGCTGACCAGAACCAAGCCACCCCCCTTTGATAGTCCTTGTCATATAGAGTAAAATAAAAATGGAACAGTGCAAATCTGATGTATGGTTGATTTTTCTATGAATTTATAACAGAAGTGTGGCGTATGTAGTGTGTGAGTGTGTGTGAAGTTTGTACAAACTGAATGATGGGGGGGGGGGTTTCCTGCTACAGAACTATTGATAAATAGAGATTTAAATACAAAGGGTGCATTTTCATTACATTCTCACAGCAACGTAGCACATCTTTGGAATCCTAGGTCAACAGGTTCAAGTTATGGCACCGTACCACTGTGAAGCCATTACAGTGGTACCTCAGGTTACATACACTTCAGGTTACATACGCTTCAGGTTACATACTCTGCTAACCCAGAAATAGTGCTTCAGGTTAAGAACTTTGCTTCAGGTTGAGAACAGAAATCATGCTCCAGCAGTGTTGCAGCAGCAGCAGGAGGCCCCATTAGCTAAAGTGGTGCTTCAGGTTAAGAACAGTTTCAGGTTAAGTACAGACCTCCAGAACGAATTAAGTACTTAATCCGAGGTACCACTGTACTGCGTTCTTGTTTCAATGACCCACAAATGGACCCTTTGGAGATGTGGGCTTTAGAGCTGATAAACTCATGGTCTGTTGTACTGTGGAGTCTTGGATTTCAGAGCAGATGTAGAGTTCCTTCAGAAAAGATGATCTTAGTGCTTTGCATAGCATCTCTGATCACCTTACTTGCATGATTTCAAAGAAGCAAAGGTACCGGCGCTCTAGCCCACATTTATGGAATCTATCATGAGTTGAAGCAGGTTTATTTTCTAAGTAAAGAGTGTAACTTGGACCAAACAAGCAAGAAGCTCCATCAGTGATGTGAAAAGTCAAGGAAACTAATCATAAATATACTTTTTTTCACAACGGTTTCACCTTTATGATGGGTTTGCATTTCCTTTGCAAGAGACCTAGCCAGTTGGCTACTGCAAAATAAGATATTTGTTATGTACTGAGTTGAATAGGATCCAAAATGCAGCAGTCTGATTGGTCCTAGAACAATAGGATCCAAAATGCAGCAGTCTGATTGGTCCCAGAACAATAGGATTCAGAATGCAGCAGTCTGATCGGTCCTAGAACAATGCAGCAGTATGATTGGTCTGCAGGAGCCACCCAATCCAGCTCCAGGTGGAAGTGAATCCACAACCTGATTGGCCTACAGGAGAATTCCGGAATTAGCCAATCATGTGCAGCCCATTGTGTAAATAATGTATATAAAGCAGATACTTTGAGGGGACTTTCATTCCTCCTCACCACTATGAGCTGAATAAAGAGCATGAAATCCACTCTCGACTCTGAGTATATTTCAATATTTAACTTGGAAAATGGATTGGAAATAAAATAAAGACTGTTGATTCCACATAGGATTCCTCTTTGGGGGTCCCGATTCCCATACGCCCAGTCTAAATCAGAATATAGTAGTTCATCACATGCCCCCTTACTGGTGTTTAATTCAGCTACCCAAATCTTTCTCTACATTACAGTGGTGCCCCACAAGACGAATGCCTCGCAAGACGAAAAACTTGCTAGACGAAAGGGTTTTCCGTTTTTTGAGTCGTTCCGCAAGACGAATTTCCCTATGGGCTTGCTTCGCAAGACGAAACGTCTTGCGAGTTCTTGCGAGTTTGTTTCCTTTTTCTTAAAACTGCTAAGCCGCTAAGCCGTTAATAGCCGCTAAGCCGCTAAGCTGCTAAGCCGTTAATAGCCGCTAAGCCGCTAATAGCCGCTAAGCCGCTAATAGCCATGCTTCGCAAGACGCAAAAACCGCAAGATGAAGAGACTCGTGGAACGGATTAATTTCGTCTTGCGAGGCACCACTGTACTCCATTCCATTCCATTCCCACTTGGACTTCCATGTCTTTCTGCCATGTCCACCCAAATAAAGGTAAAGGTAAAGGTACCCCTGCCCGTACGGGCCAGTCTTTGCCAGACTCTGGGTAGTGCGCCCATCTCACTCAAGAGGCCGGGGGCCAGCGCTGTCCGGAGACACTTCCGGGTCACGTGGCCAGCGTGACATCGCGGCTCTGGCGAGCCAGAGCCGCACACGGAAACGCCGTTTACCTTCCCGCTAGTAAGCGGTCCCTATTTATCTACTTGCACCCGAGAGTGCTTTCGAACTGCTAGGTTGGCAGGCGCTGGGACGCGAGCAACAGGAGCGCACCCCGCCGCGGGGATTCGAACCGCCGACCTTTCGATCGGCAAGCCCTAGGCGCTGAGGCTTTTACCCACAGCGCCACCCGCGTCCCTCCACCCAAATAGCATTGGGCTATTTGGGTGTTCTTCTCCCTTTTTAGATTTCCCCCTCTATTTTTTCTACTTTTCCAAACTGTGTGCTTCTCCCAAACCTGTTGATACCTCACTTGTGTGGTGTGTCATATTGGCTACATTAGCAACAGTATTCCCAGCCTAAACAGCGGTAATCTGGGGAACAATTCCTTGATACCACATTGTGATACTCTTTTTTTTTGAAAAAAAAGAGACAACCTTAGACTGCTATGTGCCTCGCTAGAATGTAATAAAAATGTGCTGAATAGTACAAACAGGTTTCTGAGAAAGTGGAGGCACATGAACCTTTGCAGAAGTTTTAATTAATATTGTCAGCAGCCCTGAGGCTTACTTAGAAGCAGGTTCTAGTGAAATGAATGTTAAATAAGGTAAATGGGATTAGCTTAGGGTACCCATATTATTTTCTGAAACATGTATATTGAAGGGGACTTGTATAGCTTAATATTTGGATCAAGGGCTTGAAGTACCATCTGCTTAAATTGGTATCATTGGTACACTGATGGTGTTTCAGTCAGCTTTAAATAAAGAGTTGGTGGTTAATAATAGGAAATGTAAAAAATCTGAACAGATTTGTATGACAATCTTTTTAGGAGTTGCATGCATGCATCAATTTATTGGTTGCTTTGGCCTAGCCAATGTGTTGCCTTCCAGATGTTTTGTGTCACATTATTCATCAGACCCAGCCAGCATGTCCAATGGTCAGAGCTGATGATACTTGTAGTCTACAGCATCTGAAAGGCACCACATGAGCTATTCTTGGATTGTATCATCAAGTAGAGACTTTTTGCGTGAACTAGCCATCACAGGCACCACTTCATTGCAACTCACTGCTCTTCTCTTCATAGAGTACATGCATTTATCTTGGGAGAGCGTGTGCAGGTTATCATGTTAGAGAAATTGAGCAATTCTGTGTGCCTATTTGAAACAACCCCTATTTTCTTTTAAAGGAGACTCTGAGGAAGAAAAGCCACCTCCCATCTCTCCATATGGGGAAACCTTCCTTGTCAGCTGCCCAGAAGACACAGTGAGTTGTCGTTTACTAGCAAAATTTCTTTTGTTCTAATGGGGTGCGGTGGAGATGATAAAAGCACATTATAGGCCCTGTAGGAACTCCTGTTAGCGAGATCTGTGAACTGCCCTAATACTTCTGGGTATAGGACAGTATATACATTCAGGCCTTTCTCTTGGGTATTGTCGGCCAAGGGGTGTTAAAGAAGGATAGAACATTTTTTATGTATGCTACAACAGCAGCAAGAATACTCATCGCAAAGTATTGGAAGACACAAGATCTACCCACCTTGGAAGAATGGCAGATGAAGGTGATAGACTATATGGGCCTGGCAGAGATGATGAGCAGAATCCGAAACCAGGGAAGGGAAACAGCGGAAGAGGATTGGAAAAAATTTAAGGACTATCTAAAGAAATATTGTAAAATTAATGAATGTTAAAATGACGCTGGATTAGAAAATATGTGGTTATAAGCGGTAATGGATAAGTTAAAGAGAAAAAGTAAGATTAAAATTAAGTTGAAAATAAGGGAAGGATTTGCTGAAAAATTAGTTAGAAATTGGAATACAGAAAGGGGAGGTACGAGGAAGTCGAGAAAGTAAGTTATAAGAAATTAAGGGTGGAATTTATATGTGTTTTTTATATTTTTTTTCTTGTTGTTTGTCATTTTTATTGTATTGTTTTGTTTTGTCCTTGTTGTTATAAAAAACTTTTGAAACTTTAATAAAAAATTTATATATATATATATAAAAGGACAGTATATACATTCATAAAATAATAAAATTATCATCATCATCTGGGCCACCCAGTGCCAGACTGCAGAAGAGATTTTCTCAAGTGCAGAACTTCATTTTTGGCAACAAATGTTAGCCCATTCACTGTTATGGAATAAAGTAAAGGGGCTCGTGCATGAACACTACTGGAGTTAGTGTTAAGCTTTCATAATAATAATAATAATAATAATAATAATAATAATAATAATAATTATACCCAGCCCATCTGGCTGGGTTTCCCCAGCCACTCTGAGTGGCTCCCAACAGAATATTAATAATAATTATAATAAAAGCGATAAAAGATCAAACAATAAAAACTTCCATAAACAGGACTGCTTTCAGATGTCTTCTAAAAGTCAGATAGTTGTTTATGTCCTTCACATCTGATAGGAGGGTGTTCCACAGGGCAGGTGCCACTACCAAGAAGGCCTTCTGCCTGGTTCCCTGTAACCTCACTTCTCACAGGGAGGGAACCACCAGAAGGCCCTCGGCACTGGACCTCAGTGTCCGGGCAGAATGATGGGGGTGGAGACACTCCTTCAGGTATACTGGGTGAGGCTGTTTACCAAACATCCATTAGTCTCGGCCTGTGTTCTTTTTCTTGGTCACATAAGAGTGTGACAAAATATTGGGAGAAAGGAGTGGAACGCTAGGAGTTGACTTATAAATTGCGTTACTTATTAGGAGGCCCACAAAGTTAAAAGAGACTGACTTTGTTTATATGGCACAATCTAGAAGACTGGACTCATTAAGACAGGGGAAGAAGAAGATAACAGAAAATTAGCTATGGTCAAAATGGGCGATTTGTACTCTGTTTAATTCAGCTAAGAAATGATGCATGCATTTAGGATGCCAGGGTTTTTGAACTGGGGAAGGAAGCTGTTCTTTGCTGTGTTGTGATGCCAACATTGTGTGTGGTCAGAGGGTGGTATGGCAGCAACTACTTCAGTAGGGACCAGGTGACATAGGGTTTCATTTGCTTCTGAAGAGCTACTGTCTTGTCAGTCTGGGTCCATGTTGCTCTTGGGGCTAGCCTTCACTTCTTGTTTCAGCCCAGCAAGGATAAAGATATCCACTGAAGGTTGATGTTTTCTACTGTATTCCTAAACATATATTCAGAATAAATAGATGCCTTGTTGAGTTTGCATAAAACCCAGATCCCATGCAGTCATCGCTTTATGCAAGTTTCATTTGCAGGATTAATGACAGGGAAAATGATATGAAACTAAGATGGAGTTGCAGACAAGAGACAGCACTATTCACAGACAGGTTTTCCGTGTGGTTAGATGTAAGACTGAAGAAGGATATTGGGCCGGACATGGAGAACAGAAGGTTTTAGTTTATCGGAGGGATGCCTGGAGAAACATATTAATGAGACACTGGGGAATTGGAGGAGGAAGGTGCATCAGTTGGAACTTAAGGCATTTGTCTGTGCTGAAAAATGATCTAGGATGTTAGCGATACTGGGCTGTGATTTCAACCAAGAAAGAAGTCATCAGTGAGCAATGATTCTCCCCACCTCAAGGTTGACAGTCACAAAAAGCCTCTTGTTTAACATGCCGCCCTTTAAAGTGGTCATATTTACGTGTTCTGAAGCATTACTTGAGATAGGATTTGCCCAGTTTGGTTTTTTTAGTTCCCCCACCCTCTATTCGGAAGTGCAAACCCTCTTACCCTTTTTTTAGCCAATGTGGTTCCTTCCAGATCTTGTTGGACTACAGTTCCCATTAGCTGGCATTGCCCGTGGTCAGAGATGATGGGAGTTGTAGTTCATCAACATCTGGAGGGCATCATGTTGGCTTTATTACAGACTGGTTTTGGAAATGTCCCTCAGAGGTTTGCTGCCTCGTCTGACACAATCTCAAAATCCCTGCACTTGGATGTGTAGAACTAGTTTAGCAGTTATATATATTGTTGTTGTTGGCATCCATCTGTCCCAGGAGACAATGGAAGCGTGTGCCTTGGGGGTAAAGTCAAACCATAGGAGAGTTGATCAGGTAGTTGATTATTTCCATGACATCTGATGGGAGAGCATTCCACAAGGCAGGCGCCACTCGGAGCTGGACCTCAGTGTCCAAGCTGAATGATGGGGGGTGGAGAAGCTCCTTCAGGTATACTGGGCTGAGGCTGTTTAGAGCTTTAAAGGTCAGCACCAACACTTTGAATTGTGCTCAGAAATGTAGTGGGAATCAATGTAGGTCTTTCAGGACCAGTGTTATATTGTCTCGGTGGCCACTCCCAGTCACCAGTCTAGCTGCCGCATTCTGGATTAGTTGTAGTTTCTGGGTCACCTTCAAAGGTAGCCCCACATAGAGTGCATTGTAGTTGTCCAAGTGGGAGATAACTAGAGCATGCACCACTCTGGCGAGACAGTCTGCCAGCAGATAGGGTCTCAGCCTGCATAACAAATGGAGCTGGTAGACAGCTGCCCTGGACACAGAATTGGCCTTCACCTTCATGGACAGCTGTAAGTCCAAAATGACTCCTAGGCTGTGCACCTGGTCCTTCAGGGGCACACTTACCCCATTCAAGACCAGGGAGTCCCTCACATCTGCCCACCTCCTGTTTGTGTTTCATGGGATAGAAACTTGAGGGATAGAAATCCTGTTGCATTACTGGAAGTCTCTTCTGCTTGTGCATGGACATCTCTGACAGCCTTTTAGCTCTCCAAAAATTACCCATTTAATTATTAGCTTTGGAATCTCTATTTGCAGGAAAACTATGTCAAAGAACTTTCAAGCACACCGGAAGAGAACAGAGACGACGAAAACACTCTCGGGGAGAGCCTTCTGAACAAAACACGGTATTGGATTATAACTTTTGGTCAAACATCACACATACCTCTCTTGATTTAAATGCTTGGAATTAGAACATGTGTAACAGAATCAGGATTTCGTGGGGGTTTTTTTAATACTGAGAAATTGCATCATGTTTACAACCTGTATACATTATTATTATTATTATTATTATTATTATTATTATTATTATTATTAATTTCAATGGATTTCTTTTTGCCTTGTATGGGAATAACCACAGGAAACCAACGTGGTCTGGTTCTCGCACACCCCTGTGCTGCTTCTGCTCTCTTCTTCTTTCAGAAATCTCAGTTTTTCCCCCCCATTCTTTGTGCTAAAGTGGAGGCCTGATGTTTCATAAGAAGCTGACAATGATCAAAAGTGTTCAGCTGCATAGGTGCTCCAACTTGATTTGGCCTACTGCTCCCTTTTCAGAAAAAAATAATAATTACTCAGCGCCCCCTGGAAACAGAAAGACGCAGTGACAAATTTGTGTCATTTTATGTAGCTATATTTCCATAGTAAAGAAAGATGTCATTGTAAATGAGACACCTTGAAGCTTGAAGTCATAAAATTATTTATTAAGCTCAACTGTAGCAACATTTGCATTACATACAGAAAATTAAGATAACGAAGGGTAACATTAAAAATAATCCCAATGAGAAGGCTGAGCTGCGATCCACTTCCTGAGCCTGAGTGAAGCCCATTTTCTTACTTTCTTTTTGCTTCCACCAGCCCCGTATTTTTATTCAATGCCTCCCAGTTGCACCTGAGGATACTACCACTCCCCCCCATCATTGCAGTGCCCCCCCCAGGGCAATATCACCCACTTTGGGAAACACTGCTCTAGGGAATCACTGCCAACCAAGGGAGGCACCTCTGAGCTGGTAAACCTGGTGTGGAAGTAAGGATTAGGGCTATTTCAAATATTTTTATTTTTTTCTGTTTGCCTCTTTAAGATGTGCCTAGCGAAGCAGGGATAAAATGGCCCAAGGCACACATCTTTAATAATGGAATGGTCAGAGGAAAATTATGCCGCGAGAAAGACTGGCTCTCCAGAACTCTGCTAGTTGTATATTTCAGACTAATATCCTCCCATTGCGAATACTAATATCTTGGAGTGTCTTTCCCCCGCTTCCCTGTACAAAGTGCCTGTTCTCCCGAGCACACTTACTAGGATGTAATTTCCACCGAATTCAGTGGGGCTTACGTTACAGTAAATATGCTTAGGAGCAGATCTAAGTGTTTACAAGATGAAAACTGGAGAAAAGTAACATTCACTTGGCGTTATTGCTTTCATCATTTTTTTTTGTTTCAAAATAGTAGTAAATAGGGAAAATGCATGCTGATAATCCATGATCGCAGTCATGGATCGCAGACCACCCATAAAATAGGCCCTGTATTTATTATCATTGGGCGATATCCAACTAAACAATTCTGCTAGCTCAAGCACTTTTCACTCTGCAAAGGAACTTATCTTCTCCTTATGTGCCCCCTAAATCTGCTCCAGAGGGTTGGGAGAACCCCCCAGAACATAGTTAGGAGATTCACAGAAAGGGAAGAGGGAAAAGAAGTTCCACTGCGCAGCCAAAAGTACTTGTGCTAGTGGAACTGTTTAGTAGCAGTGGTACCTCTGGTTAAGTACTTAATTCCTTCCAGAGGTCTGTTCTTAACCTGAAGCACCACTTTAGCTAATGGGGCCTCATGCTGTCGCCACGCTGCCGGAGCTACTGCATGATTTCTATTCTCATCCTGAAGCAAAGTTCTTAACCCAAGGTACTATTTCTGGGTTAGCGGAGTCTGTAACCTGAAGCGTATGTAACCCGCGGTACCACTGTATTCGTAGTGGTTTCTTTCTAGACTGATCTTCATTTGAAAAGCAACAATATATAAAACGATATAAAAATAAAAACCTTACGTAATCTTAAAACATTGGACATTATATTAGACAGCAGAGACCAACAATTGGGTGACAAAGTTCTAAATACAAGACATAGCAGGGATGTAGAATCATAGACATGAGCAAAAATATGGCCCTGCCCACCCTGTCTCCCCCCCTTTTTTTACTGTCATCCCAGTTCTTATTTTTGCCTGAAATTGATTGTACAACCCTGTAGGTATCTCAGAGTAGCCTGGGGTTTGTTTTATAGCTCTAGTTGGGCTTCAAGGCTTGTCTACTACTTCCAGTTTGGTCTGGGGTGGGTGGCTCCTCCTACAGGACATGAGTGGCGCTGTGGTCTAAACCACTGAGCCTCTTGGGCTTGCCAATCGGAAGGTCGGCTGTTCAAATCCTTGCAATGGGGTGAGATCCTGTTGCTCTGTCCCAGCTCCTGCCAACCTAGCAGTTCAAAAGCATGCCAGTGAAAGTAGATAAATAGGTACTGCTGTGGCAGGAAGGTAAACGGCATTTCCATGCGCTCTGGTTTCCATCACGGTGTTCTGTTGCACCAGAAGTGGTTTAGTCATGCTGGCCACATGACCTGGAAAGCTGTCTCTGGACAAACGCTGGCTCCCTTGGCCTGAAAGTGAGATGAGCACTGCAACCCCATAGTCGCCTTTGACTAGTCTTAACACTCCAGAGGTCCTTTACCTTTATCTTTTTACCTGCAGGAGGAAACATATTTGCATGGCACTGCCTATATGTTTCAGCTGGAGGCACCATCCATTACAGTTGTGATGTGGAGTCTTCCCAGGCTAACCTGCTTCTCGAACCACAATTCCCCAGTTGACACCCCTTGCCAGTTCTGCTTTTCACCCCCCTTGAGAGTTTTTCCCTAGCTAGAATGTTTCTTGGAAATGTGCTATTGTTTGCCTGGATAGTGGCATATGTGTGTGTGTTTGCATGTGTGTGTGTGTGTGTGTGTGTGTGTGTGTGTGTGTAGAAACCAGCCCACTGAGGAAAGGTAAAATTTACATTTTTTGCTGTGGTCACTTGTGCCTCTGGAGTTTAACCCTCAGCCTGAAAAAAATGTTCTCTTATCTTTCAAAAGCACGGCGGACTTCAGCAGGTCTCTTTATGACATTTATGTGGGATGTTTTGTTGTTTTCATATGCTTGTTGTTTCGAATTAAATTGCAACGCCCTGTGGCAAAAGAGGAAGATTGATTGTCTGAAGTAGCGTTACTTTGTGTGTTTGCTTTCAGTACTCTTAATAATCAGAAGCAGAAAACCGCTGAAGATGTGGCGAACAATGAATTAGTAACCCAGGAGGATACGTTTGTACCGCCAAACAGATTTGCTGGGGAATCAGAATACTCTTCAGTGAAAGAATATGCTCAATATACACGGAAAGGAAAATATAAAACATCAAAAAGGTTCAGACGTGGGAAGCTTGACCTCAGTGCTAAGGAGCAGACATATTCTTCCCACCATGATGAATTGGCCAGTAGCCCCAGAGACTCAATATCACCCTATGCTTGCTTTTATGGTCCTTCAGGAAAGAAGGCTAAAGAAGGATGGCTGGATAAGTTGTCTCCTCAGGGGTATGTCATCTTTAACTCTGAGAATGTTTCTTTCTTAATGGGACTTTGTAACATGTAAACAGTAGGTGACTGGTTCTGTTTGCTCTCCTTTTTGGGTAATCTGGGTAACCGGGTTCACGTCTCCGCTCCTCCACATGCAGCTGCTGGGTGACCTTGGGCCAGTCACACTTCTTAGAAGTCTCTCAGCCCCACTCACCTCACAGAGTGTTTGTTGTGGGGGAGGAAGGGAAAGGAGATTGTTAGCCGCTTTGAGACTCCTGAAGGGGAGTGAAAGGCGGGATATCAAATCCAAACTCTTCTCTTCTTCTTCTTCTTTTTGTCTTCTGAAAAGCCTGTGAGGTTAATGGGCAGCGATAGCTTTGTAAGAAATGGTAGACAAACAGCACAATCCTAACCATGTCTCCTCAGAAATAAATCCAATTGAATCCAATGGGGTAGGATCCCAAGTAACTGGGGCTAGGATTGCAGCCTATCAGCAGACTCCACTTCGTGCTTACTCAGAAATACGCCCCTCTGTGGTCAGTGGGCAGTAGTGTGCAAAGGATTGCAGCTGATTGCTGTTATTGATATTAATTCTCTTTTTTGTAACATCTTTATTGAAAGTGCATAACTATATATGCACCAAACATGGTGAGATGCAAACAAAAAAGAGAAAAGGGAAAAGAGAAACAGAACCCGTGCAGAAGGAAAAACAAAGGGGGGAGGGGGAAAACCCCAAACTGTATATTTTACAAGCTTGTTATTGTACTTCACCAGATCGTAACCTATTACAGTATTTGTAAGAATGGATTCCAAATATCATTGAATTTGCCAATGGCAAGTCTCTGTTTATATGCAAGTTGTCTGTATGTTGTGAGTTTGTATAAGTCTTCAATCCAATTGTAGAAGGGAGATACATTTTAATTTTTCCAATTCATCAGTATCAGTCTTTTTGCTGTGATAAGGGCACAGAGAGTCCACTCGTATTGTCCTTTTGTAAGGTTCCATGTACTGGGTATATAATTCAAGAGGATATTTTGCTCTGTAAAGGTAAGGTTGTTCCATACAGTTCTGCTGATGGTTTCAGGTACCTTCTGCCAAAAACTCTTTCAATATAGGACAATGAAAAAACATGTTTTAGAGAAGCATTATCCCTATTGCATCTCCAACAGTTAGATACCTTAGATAGCTCTGTTAAAAACAATTCTTGTATCTTTATTTTTAGATCTTATGATTTACGTGGAAATTGTTTCGATTTGGTTGTGTACTTTCTGATGTGGTTTTTTTTTTGCCTTTTTATGTTTGTAATTATGTAAATCTTTTAATGTTGTAAGCCTCCTTAAACATGGTTTTAACGATGGGAAGGCGGCATACAAATATGATGATGATGATTCATCTGCACCATTGGTGTTCCACCGCTCCAAATAACTTTTTTTTCCTTTTTCTTGATTTGCACACAGAAAACATGTGTTTCAGAAGCGCTGGGTAAAATTTGACGGTGAAAGCATTTCTTATTACAATAATGACAAGGTAAGTTTGCACTGGTCAGATAATATGTACTTGGTTAGACCTGTTGGTGTGTACAGTCGTACCTTGGAAGTCCAACAGAATCCGTTCTGGAAGTCCGTTCGACTTCCAAAACAGTTGGAAACCAAAGCGCAGCTTCTGATTGGCTGCAGGAAGCTCCTGCAGCCAGTCGGAAGCTGTGGAAGCCCCGTCGGACATTCGGCTTCCAAAAGAGTGTTCGAAAACTAGAACACTCACTTCCGGGTTTCAATTGTTCGGGAACCAAGTATTGTTTGAGATCCAAGGTACGACTGTACTTAGTTGCAGCTTACTGGTTGTACAAACTTGGGGGAATATTGCACACCTTTCAATTCTGCTAAATATGCATTGAAGGACGAAAGAAGCAGTTGCCATAACACAGCGGTGGGAAATCTTTTTCAGCCCAAGGGATGCACTTCCTAATGGGCAACTTTGCGGCAGCTGTATTCCAGTGGTGTGTGAGCACTGGCCAAAGTGGATGTGGCCAAAGAGATGACTTTCAACTTCAGTAGACTAGGCCATACTCCAGCCATGCAAAGGACAGAGGCTTCTACACACACCTGCCTTTGCCTATGCAAGCAAGAAGCACTATCAGAGTTCAAGGGCATTTTTCAGCCAAAGCACTCAAGCAAGTTTAGGAGCAGAGCTGGGGAAAGTTTGGAGGGCTGACTAGAGAGGTCTGGACTTGAACGACTTTGCTCTTGGGCTTGAGGTTCCCCACCTCTGCCATAGTGGGTGGCAGCCCTATAAACCTACATTTTTTGTTTGTTTAAAACATTTATACCCATCTGCTTGAGGAGACTCCAGATGCTAGCTTACAATTGCAAAACCACACACATGGTTATTCAGAAAAATACTGTAAAAACAGCACTAAAATACAATCCTGGGCTGTAGGATTTTATGCCCTACTAATAATTGTAACTGGGACGCGGGTGGCGCTGTGGGTTAAACCACAGAGCCTAGGGCTTGCCAATCAGAAGGTTGACGGTTCAAATCCCCGTGACGGGGTGAGCTCCTGTTGCTTGGTTCCTGCTCCTGCCAACCTAGCAGTTTGAAAGCATGCAGTGTGAGTAGATAAATAGGTACCGCTCCGGCAGGAAGATAAACGGTGTTTCCGTGCGCTGCTCTGGATCGCCAGAAGCAGCTTAGTCATGCTGGCCACATGACCCAGAAGCTGTCTGCGGACAAACACCGGCTCCCTCAGCCAGTAAAGCGAGATGAGTGCCGCAACCCCAGAGTCGTCCGCGACTGGACCTAACGGTCAGGGGTCCCTTTACCTTTAATAATTGTAACAGTCTCATTCTTTGTTCACATGTTGGAAAAGGAACCTCTCTTATGGTTTCATTTTAAAGACTAGTTGAAAGCATTGTTCTGTAGCAGTTGAGACACTGATGTGATTTTAAGTGTGTGTGTGTGGCAATTGTTTAAAATTTTGATTAAAGGATGCATTTCAAAACTGGGAAGGGGAGAGATTGTGGAATCATCAGTAGCTTACACTTACCTGTGCTGGATATTTTCACTGTGACTGTAATGCAGCAGCAGTACCAAATTCAGACAGTAGATGCCTGCAGACACCAGTACATAATTTCTGGAAGGAGAGCTGCCAGAAATTTTATAATCAAGCGAGTCCACTATGCTGAAATACACAGCAATGATGCTTCATGTATGGCAACCAGTTTTACCCTGAGAAAAATAACAAAGTACATGTAGTGTACAATAACTCCCACATACATAACGGTTGTTATTGCTGGTAGGAAATGCTGAGTTCAAGCTGGTAGCTCTGCTCATGCAACTACTTTCGCTGTAAGACAAAACAGCCATTCTGCTGCAATTTTTCTACTGCACTTTGAGCTCATCTCTTCTGCTGTACAACATTTTTTGGACCTTTTAAACACATAATAATAATAATTTTTTATTTATACCCCACCCTCCCCAGCCAAGGCCGGGCTCAGGGCAGCTAACAATCAATAATAAAAACAAGTTGAATGAATACAACTTAAAAACAAGATTAAAATACAACATTAAAATATTGAAACATTAAAATATTAAAATGCAGCTTCATCACAGGAGGAGAAAGGAAAAAGAAAGAGGGGGAGGGAATCAAATTGGCTCCAAGCCAAAGGTCAGGCGGAAGAACTCTGTCTTACAGGCCCTGCGGAAAGAAATCAGATCCTGCAGGGCCCTGGTCTCATGAGGCAGAGCGTTCCACCAGGCCGGGGCCAGTGTTGAAAAGGCCCTTCAGAAGTTTTCCATGCACATTGTAGCATGAATGAGTAGGGTAAGGTCAATTAGTCCAAGCCCCTGGCACCCACACATACAGTGTGAACATCTCCAAGGAGGGAGACTTAGTGTGTGTCCTTCTGTACACAAAGATTCCCTCTCTGCAGACATTTACGCTGTATGTGACAACATCAGCTGGTAGAACCTGTTGGTGTGGCCTACTCATGTGTAGGTACGGCACATGAGCAACACCCTGAAAGGGGCTAGGCTGATTGTGATTGGAGACTCTCCTTTTTGCAGGCCGTATCAAAAATTACGCTTTGCCATTGGTGCCATTAGTTCAAATAGGGCTTTTCAAGTGAGACTAACTTGTACCTTCATAGACTCTTTTTGTTGCATTTGATACAGGAAGTGTACTCTAAGGGAATAATCCTCCTCTCTGCTATGTCTACAGTCAGAGCCCATGGGGACAACAAACTTGAAGTTGTTACAGCGCACAGGGTATTTGTCTTCAGGGCTGAAAAGGAAGGTAAGATGGATGTATTTAAGGGCCATAGCTGGTTCATTCTGTTTTTCTGTTCGGTTCCAAGTGTTCCATGTGCCGGGTTGCATATTTTGTGGATGATATTTCTTAAGAAGCTAAGGAGGCTTTTATTCCAGTTCAAGGATTACAACTTTATCCGAAGTCCAGAACAAAATGGGAGCAGTCGATTGGTGATTTCCTTTGAGATGCTTGCTCTGTATAAGTCTAACATTTATTCCTGTAATGAACTCAAGAGGTTCTGGTCATATTGAGTTTTGTATCTTTCAGGAAAAGACACATGCAATTTGTCACCAAGCCCTTGAGTAGCTTGTCTTATGAGTCATTATGGTCTTATGAGACCAACAGATAATGTCTGGATCTACTGTACAGCTACTGTACAGTTGACCTCTGTCTTTGAGGGATTTTTCTATAGCCCAACAGTTATTTTAAGGCATCTTTATAAATTTGGCAGTTGTCAGCATTCTAACTTGGGTTGGATAAAGATCAAAGGAACATTGGTGAACTCAGATGGTCCTTTAGTAAGTGCTGTACTGCAATGGTTCGCATAATATTGCAATAACTAGGCGCTACCTGAAACATATGGCTGTAACTGAAAACAGCAACTTTACATCTCCTCCTCATCTCTCTTGATAACATGTTCCAAAGCAAGGGAAATGAAGATGGTAAAAATAGTGTTAGGGCTTGTCGTTGGACATCTGCTAAGGCCCAGGCCTCAGCATGAGGCCCATTGCCAACTCCCAGAGCCCCCAAACCCTTTTGGTAGTACACTTTCCTGTCTGTTCACTGTCCTTTTCTGTGAGAGGTCAAAGTTGGCAGTATCCAAGAGGTCAAATGGGTCCTCTGAGTCAGGAGCACTTTCAGGACCTTGGATAGTTCACAGGCTTCTGCTGAAGCAGCTATCCAAGCTGTTGCCTCTGCAAGAGCTTAGATCAGTGGTACCTTGGTTCTTAAACTTAATCCATTCCGGAAGTCCGTTCCAAAAACAAGGCCTGCTTTCCTATAGAAAGTAATGCAAAACAGATGAACCCGTTCCAGACTTTTAAAAACACCCCCTAAAACAGCAATTTAACATGAATTTTACTATCTAATGAGAGCATTGATCCATAAAATGAAAGCAATACTGTACTATAAAACAAATAAGACAGTATTGTAAATGATAAAAAAAAAATTCTTACCTGCACTGATGATAGTCATTGTTTGGATGGGGGGCTTTTATCCATTTCCACAGTCACACAATCAATCAGTCAGTAGCTGAACTGGGTTCCACACAGTCACAAAAACAAATTGACTGAAAAAGCCTCGAAAACAAAAAAATGCAAAATAAATAGCAAAATCAAAAGCGCCAAATACAGTCGTACCTTTGTTCTCGAACTTAATCTGTTCCAGAAATCCGTTTGACTTCTGAAATGTTTGAAAACCAAGGGGCGGCTTCTGATTGATGCAGGCGCTCTGGAAACAATAGCCAACAGCCGCATCGGATGTCCAGCTTCTGAAAAACGTTCGAAAACCGGAACACTTACTTCTGGGTTTTGTGTGTTTGGGAACCAAGGCATTTGAGAACCAAGGTACCACTGTATATGTTCACTGGATCTATAGAGAAACAAGCCTTGTCTCTCCATAGGAGCTGGTTGCCTGGTAAAGGGTCCTTGCCTTATTTTATAGTCATTGGCTCCTCCAGGGCTGGGAAGAGGAGAGTCTGGATAGTGCAAATAATCATCTCTGGTCATGTAAAGTCTGAATAATAATTTTTGACTGCAATATAAGAACGAGGAACAAGGAAAAATATACATGAGAGGACTAACAATGTGCAAAACTCTAGTGTATAGTCACGATAGAAAAGTAAAGTAGCACTTTCAAGACTTTTTATGAAATGGTTTTAGTTTCTTGGGACCTTTTTTAGCACGTATTAACACCCCTTAAAAGCTGTGCTTTCTGCCATCTGGTGTGAGTCACCGTTCAGTACAGAACTGACAAAGAGCAATATGAAGTTGATGGCTCGGGTGTGAAGATTGAAGAAAATCTGGTTTAGGTTTTCTTGTGACTTACACACATATAGATAGATAAATACAGATAATACGTTGTCATTTTTTGGCAGTGTTTCCAGCCACTTTTTTTTAGATACCGAAAGCAGGTCTTAAGCTCAGCAAAGGAGCGCCGAGCAATTTCTTCTCTGTTCATTTATTAACCTTTCGCGTGTGTGACGCAGAATCAATATGGAAGATGATTGTACAGGTTGAATTATTTATGGAGTGTGTGTGTGCGAAATCTGATGGCCATAGAGTATTAAGAGGGGAACAAGAGTTGAAACATTTCAGCTAGTTACCTCTTGAACATTCTACTGGCAAAAGGTGAATCACACAGGAAGATGGAGGAGCCGTTAACCTAAGCACTACTTGGATGTGAATTCATTCATGGAAATAACATGTAAGGTCAGCGTACTGGTACCATTTGGGTCCAGAGAACTGAGGAGGCTGGGTGTGACTGATTGGGGCTTTGCTATGTTTATAGCACTCAGGGACGCGGGTGGCGCTGTGGGTTAAACTACAGAGCCTAGGACTTGCTGATCAGAAGGTCAGCGGTTCGAATCCCCGCAACAGGGTGAGCTCCCGTTGCTCGGTCCCAGCTCCTGCCAACCTAGCAGTTCGAAAGCACATCAAAGTGCAAGTAGATAAATAGGTATCACTCCGGCGGGAAGGTAAATGGCGTTTCCGTGTGCTGCTCTGGTTCTCCAGAAGCGGCTTAGTCATGCTGGCCACATGACCTGGAAGCTGTCTGTGAACAAAAGCTGGCTCCATCGGCCTATAGAGCGAGATGAGTACGCAACCCCAGAGTCGGTCATGACTGGACCTAACGGTCAGGGGTCCCTTTACCTTTATGTTTATAGCAATGCACAAAGGCCCTATGAATCATAGAATCTTAGAGTTGGAAGGGACCCCAGGGGTCATATAGTCCAAGTCCCTGCAACGCAGGAATCTCAGCTAAAGCATTCATGACAGATGACCATCCAACCTCTTCTTAAAAACCTCCAAGGAAGGAGAGTCCACCATCTCTAGTAGGAGTCTGTTCCGCTGCTGGACAGCTCTTACAGTCAGAAAGTTTTTCTGAATGCTTAGTCAGAATCCCCTTTCTTGCAACTTGAAGCCATTGGTTTGAGTCCTACCCTCCAGGAGGAGAAAACAAGCATGCTCCCTCCTTGATGAGAATTGCTGCTGTAGTGGTTTGCCTGGTGAGTTGGAGAAAGGAAACTGGATGGCTGACCAGGCAGGCAATGAGGAAGGGACTGTTGTCTTTTTTTGCAACCTTTTCTTTGAAGAAGTCTTCTCATAGAGGTTTCCATTCTACTGATACCTGGCAGTGCCACTGGGGGAGAAGGCAATCTTACAACCCAACATTACTGAATGCCTTCCTTTTGAGTTTGCCTGGCCCCTGGCTGAGGACTTCCATTGTCAAGTATAAACCCAGCTTTTCCAGAAGGCGTTTCTTCTCGTTGATTGGATGCATGCAGAATATTTCCTTTCCCCATTAAGTTAGCTATAGAATTGGAGTGTTGTCTGTCTTCCTCATTAAGATGTGTTGTGTGCTATGGCCTTTTTGCAATGATAGTTGCAGTTAGTGCTTTTTTGTTCTTTTTCTTCTTTTTTTTGCTGCCCAAAGTAGCTAATATGTGCTGGCACTCAGATCACTTTTGTCAAAAAGTGGCCACACTTTTGTTTGTTTGTTAAAGGTGGACATAATTTCATTAGTGTTTATAGCCATTTAAGCCAAAAGATTTATAGTTAAATATGCCATTAAAACCAAAGAAGCACAATTGGTTAATGTTTATTATAGTACCCACAAATCTGTTAAAGCTGCTGCTGCTGCTTCTTCTTCTTCTTCTTCTTCTTCTTCTTCTTCTTCCTCTTCCTCTTCCTCTTCTCCTTCCTCTTCTTCATTTAATTTCTACACTGCTTTATACTTAAGAAAAGATATCAAAGTGGTTTACAACCTACATGAAAACATCAAACTAAGCTATCTAGAATAAAACATCAGTTGAGAAAGTCAAATATAAAGTATACATTCAAAGCAGCATAATTAATGGGAAAGTAAAGTATTATGCTAAAGATTTCAACGTAAAACATTAAAAAGAGGGCAGTCGGCCACAGAATGCACATTTAACTCAGCAAAGTTAATTTTTTATCTTAAACCTTTCAGAAGAAAACATTACTAAGTGAAGTCTAATAAAGAGTGTACATTTAAAACAGCATCATTAGCAAGATATTAAAATATTATCATAGGCTGCTGTTGCTGTCGATCCTGCCAATGGTGGCTGTGGAAGCTCAGGACTGATGATCTGAGTCTGCACTAAGAGACAGCCAAAACGGATCTCTGGCCTCTTCAGCAGCCTCAGTTTTTGTAGCTGGAGTCAGTGCAGACCTTATTGCCCTTTCCTTCTTTGCTGCAACCAAGATAGTCTATGAAAATTGCAACTGCGAAAGTGCTCTATTGATATGGACAATAGAAACATAGAGAAAGGGGACTCAGAAGCACATATTTCCTGTGATTAGGAGAAAAACACACACACAATATGGCTCTATTCATGGAAGACAAAGTCATGGACGACAAAGTCGAGAGCCAGTGTGGTGTAGTGGTTAAGAGCGGTAGTCTCGTAATCTGGGGAACCGGGTTCACGTCTCTGCTCCTCCACATGCAGCTGCTGAGTTACCTTGGGCTAGTCACACTTCTCTGAAGTCTCTCAGCCCCACTTACCTCACAGAGTGTTTGTTGGGGGGGAGGAAGGGAAAGGAGATTGTTAGCCGCTTTGAGACTCCTTAAAGGGAGTGAAAGGCAGGATATCAAGTCCAAACTCTTCTTCTTATTATTCTTATTCATAAATCTTCCCCTCTGACATTGTGTTGGTCACACAAGTAGACCACTACTATGAAAAGATATTTCAGCAGAGGAGATACTTACTCATCTAAGTGGCATTTATTGCAACATACCAGTATATTATGGAATGAATTGTGTCTCACATGCCTAGTTCAAAGGACACAATACATCTGCAGGATTACTTATGTTTCAAGTTCATTTTTCCACCTTATTTCCAGACGAATGTCCTGCCTTTCAACATTGTGTCCCCAAAGCTTATGTCGGTGTTGTGAAACAAAGTCATAAGCAAAACATTTTAAAAATTCAGTATTAAAATCGTGTTGAATAGTTGCTTGCAATGAGTAGTTTTTGAGCCATTTTCTTCCCTTTTCTTTTTTTAGATGAAAGAAATGACTGGATTGCTACAATACTCAGAGCTATGCAGTCGCAACCTGAAATCTCTCGAGTGAGAACCGCTGTCCCTCCTGAGAAAAGCGGGTATCTGGAACTGAAAGGATACAAAGCCAAAATCTTCACCTTGCTGCAAGGAAACAATGTGTGGATCTGCAAAAACGATCAGGTAAAATATCTGGCTTTTCTCCCCCCCCCCCAACCTGAATTGTAATCAGTAATCGTATTAGTGCTTCAGATGAAAATGATGTATATTATTTCTCAAACTTTACATGCAGAATGACAGTGGCATTGTGCTTCTTATGAGAAAACATGGTTTGCGGGTGAACAGGCCCTGCATTAAATCTCACTTGCATCCATGGATTTTCATCTGATAGTCTTGTTGTTGTTGTTTAGTCGTTTAGTCGTGTCCAACTCTTCGTGACCCCATGGACCAGAGCACGCCAGGCACTCCTGTCTTCCACTGCCTCCCACAGTTTGGTCAGACTCATGTTTGTAGCTTCGAGAACACTGTCCAACCATCTCGTCCTCTGTCGTCCCCTTCTCCTTGTGCCCTCCATCTTTCCCAACATAGGGTCTTTTCCAGGGAGTCTTCTCTTTTCATGAGGTGGCCAAAGTATTGGAGCCTCAGCTTCATGATCTGTCCTTTCAGTGAGCACTCAGGGCTGATTTCCTTAAGAATGGATAGGTTTGATCTTCTTGCAGTCCATGGGACTCTCAAGAGTCTCCTCCAGCACCATAATTCAAAAGCATCAATTCTTCTGCGATTAGCCTTCTTTATGGTCCAGTTCTCACTTCCATACATCACTACCGGGAAAACCATGGCTTTAACTATACGGACCTTTGTTGGCAAGGTGATGTCTTAGATAAACCTGTTTTCCACTACTCCATATGTGAAACTACGATAATCCGGCAAAGAACTGTGTGCCAGCAGAAGAGGCGGCCTGTTTAAATACAGGATGAGTGGCCCTGAGTGAAGCCCTCAAGCCCAGTCAGGTCCATCCCTCTCCCAGGTTCCCACCCCTATGCCTGCCTGCCATTGGCCAATTCAGCAATTGGGCAGAATTCAAACTTCCCCGGCCATTGGGAGGGCTGTGTGGCCTTCCAGCCAGGAATTCCACCAGCTAGGCAGTTCCTGCTGGGGAGGACCAGGGCGAGGTGCCGCCAGCCTGCAACACCACCACACCTTAGAATGAGGATAATTCTGATAAGGCCAGGAAAGGTTTGCAGCGATGTATTTTTGATGGATGAAGGAGATAAGAATTCAAATGCAACTGAAATATTAGAAGTGCTGTGTGTATATATAAATCTTGATGTAAAAAGGTAAAGGACCCCTGGATGGTTAAGTCCAGTCAAAAGCGACTATGGGGTTGTGGCACTCATCTGGCTTTCAGGCCAAGGGAACTGGCGTTCATCCACAGACAACTTTCATGTGGCCAGCAGGACTAAACTGCTTCTGGCACGACAGAACACTGAGATGGAAACCAGGGCGTACGGAAATGCCGTTTACCTTCCCGCCGCAGCGGTACCTATTTATCTACTTGCACTGGCGGGTTTTCGAACTGCTAGGTTGGCAGGAGCTGGGACGGAGCAATGGGAGCTCACCTTGTCATGGAGATTCAAACCACCGACCTTGGGCAAGCCCAAGAGGCTCAGTGGTTTAGACCACAGCAGCACCCATTATATATATCTGGAGGAAGGCACTCACCTTTGTGGCGGAGCATATGCTTTGAACACAGAAGGTCGTAGATTCAATCTCCAGCATGCCCAGGGGAAAAAACCCCATACAGAGAGGTTAGGGAAGATCACAGCCTAAGACCCTGGAGAGTCCCTCCCAGTCATCATAGACACTATTGGTCTGACTTGGTATAATGTAGGCTTTGCAGTCCTAAAGTAATGGCATACAGCTGCTAGGTGGGTTACATTCAGTAAGGGCCTTAACGGTTTCAGGTTAAGAACGGACCTCCGGAATGAATTAAGTTCATAACCAGAGGTACCACTGTACTTAAATCAATGTCCCACTGTCCCCCTCCACAAAGGTGTACCTCGAAATGGCTTATTTTTAAAACAGACATTAAAAGACAGATTATCAGACTAAAAACAGCGGCATAGAAACAAGGCCAAAAAGAGCAACACTCTGAGTGCTCTCACTTATTATGCTAAGCAGCAACTGAATCCAAAGCTTGATTTAAGAAGGAAAATGTTCAATATTTTCTGGTGTAACACATGTAAAGAGGAATTTAACCTCTTGTGACAAGGAGTTCCTCATTAAGGGGCATCGCAACAGAGAAAGCCCTCTCATGCGCTGCCATCAACCTTGCCTCAGAACGCAGTCACCCACAAAAGAGCAGATTCACATAAGAGGAGTTGGTAACTTAGTAAGGTAAGCTTCATCCTAGCCTGTTCTCTGATTTTTTGCTTTCCATACATCACTAAATATTGGCCAAATGCTTCCTTGGCCAAATTCTGAGGCAGGGATGGGGAACCTGTGATCTCTCTTTGATGCTGGGCTGCAACTTCCATTATCCCTGACCATTGCCCATGTTGGAGAGGTAGAATGGAGTTAGAATCATAGAATCATAGAGTTGGAATAGACCACAAGGGCCATCAAGTCCAACCCCCTGCCAAGCAGGAAACACCATCAGAGCACTCCCGACATATGGTTGTCAAGCCTCCGCTTAAAGACCTCCAAAGAAGGAGACTCCACCACACTCCTTGGCAGCAAATTCCACTGTCGGACAGCTCTTACTGTCAGGAAGTTCTTCCTAATGTTTAGGTGGAATCTTCTTTCTTGTAGTTTGGATCCATTGCTCCGTGTCCACTTCTCTGGAGCAGCAGAAAACAACCTTTCTCCCTCCTCTATATGACATCCTTTTATATATTTGAACATGGCTATCATATCACCCCTTAACCTCCTCTTCTCCAGGCTAAACATGCCCAGCTCCCTTAGCCGTTCCTCATAATGTTGAGTTCATCAACATCTCATCAGTTTGGAAATAGAAACATTTCTTCTTCTTCTTCTTCTTCATCATCATCATCATCATCATCATCTCTAAACTCCCATCAGCCCCAGCTAGCATGGCCCATTGCCAGGGATGATTGGAGTTGTATCCATACAACATAGAACCAAAGACTCCCATCCCTGGAATATATCTTAGATGCCATTAGAGGTATCTAGGATTTTTATTTATTTTTTCTCCTAGAAAGAGGTAGTATATTCTGTTGATTGATACTTGGGCAAGTACACGGAGTGTTGTGAGAGTGTTGAAATCCTCATCTATCCGGGAACTATTCCCATGGTGTCTCCCATAGGTTTATTTTAATGGTAGCGTTAAGACATCTGTCTAGACTAATAACAGTGTTTGAAAGCAGAAGAGGTCAAGTTGATATACTGATGGCTTTTAAATTTGATAGGTAAAAGTCCAAAAGTATATTGCAGCATTTTTCAAAAAAAAAAGTATGAAGCTAAACATAATCCGATGTCCATTCCAAAGTTTATTGATAGTGCAACTTCATGTCTGAGGTTAATTTCAAACTTCAAAGTTTTTGATAGGGTAAAATCTTCTGACACAGAGAGATTTCTAATCTGAGCACAGTCTGTTAAGTACCGTATGAATTCATTAGTCGCTTTTCAGAGCTAAAAATGGAACTGACACAAAAACAACAGGCCACATTAACATAGGCGCCGACTCCATGGGGCCTGAGGGGGCCCAAGCCCCCTCAAAAATTTTATTGGGGGGGCGGAGCCCGGGCCGCGCGCGGCTGCTGCTGCCGCCGCCTCTCCTGGGGGCGCCGCCTCCCCGGGCGGGGCCGCTGCAGAAGGGTGAGTGGTGAGGGCGGGACGGGGCCGCGCGCTCCTTTCCTCGTCGCGCGCCTTGGCTCCCGTGGCCGGCGAGGGGAGCCCGGGCCGCGCGCGGCTGCTGCCGCCGCCGCTTCTCCTGGGGGCGCCGCCTCCCCGGGCGGGAACGCTGCGGGTGCGCGAGGGAGGAGGGCGGCCCCCAGGGGCTGGGAGAGCCGGGCTGCCGTGGCCGAGAGGGCTGCTCTGCCGGGCGCCGCTGAATAATTTTCTTAAAGTGGTGAAATCAATAGAACTTACTTCCAAGTAAACATGCTTGTGTTTGGTGTGCGGGAATATTGTGGCTGTATCCTTGCCAATGTGGTTGTAACCTTAGGGTTTCTCTGCTGCTATAGCTATTCATCAGTATGAATATTTAACTTCAAATCGCTATTAGCATGCCACGTTTTCCATGCAGTCATTTTAGCCTGCGTTTTGGCAGAACAACACGACTTGCAAAAAAACATAAGATTCTGGGCATGTTATGTAGATGGCATTTAGTCCTTAGATGGGCCTTATCAGGGTGAGTTTCGTTTCTAAAACCTGCTTTACGATAAAGCTTATAATCTCAAAAATTTAACCCAAAATCCAGAGGGCAATGAGATCATCACTTCTCCATTCTCACCACCTTCATTGCCATCTAAAGAGCTGCATGTTCCAGGTGTTTTGCGTACATTTAGTAAAGTGTAGCTTGTTTTCTTTTTTAAAAAAGCAAGGTGAAAATAATACCCCATGGCATCCCTCGTGCACCCGCAGCGTTCCCGCCCGGGGAGGCGGCGCCCCCAGGAGAGGCGGCGGCAGCAGCAGCCACGCGCAGCCCGGGCTCCCCTCGCCGGCCGCGGGAGCCAAGGCGTGCAACGAGGGCAGCCGAGGAAAGGAGCGCGCGGCCCCGTCCCGCCCTCGCCACTTACCCTCCTGCAGCGGCCCCGCCCTGCGGGGAACTTAGAAAACTTCCCGGGGCAGGACCCCGGTATGGGCCCCCCCAATATTTTTTATAAGTCGGCGCCCCTGCACATTAAATAAGAAAAGAAAGCAAAATGCTCTATTAAAATGATATATGTACATTAAAATAATTTTTATATTGTGATGTAGCTAAACCAGCATGCTTAGTGAAGTTCATATCTGTGTGAGCAGGCCAGATATAGGATTTGAAACATTGGTTTTCATAAACATAAATGATAAAGCAAATGGATCACATGACTGTAACCCCTCCATGCTTAGCATAGAAGGAAGCAAGGTTATTTCATATCAAGCTCTGAAAGTAGATGAGTTGAGGCAAGTAAAATCATATGAATATATCGAAAATGCTTATGTAATATATATCAAACGGCATT